CCCCCCCCGCTACCAAACCCTTGCCTCACAAACCCAGTACAGCTGGTAGTTCAGTTAAGGTAGCATTTATGTGGTAGTTAATGTCTGGAAACTTTGGTGGGGGGAGGTATGTTTATACCTGAGATCGGGATAGGTGGTGTCTTCATTAGCAAGCCGTGCAGCCAAGCAGGAAGAGCTGTGTAAGGCACAACAGATGCCGAGTGCCCAAGCTCAGCCTTTTGGGGAGCTGGAGATGATTACTCCGGTCTGCCCGTAATGTGGCCCTGTGCATTTTCCAGTTTCATTTCACCGGCAGGAGCCCCTGGCTGTGCAAGCTCCTCGCAGTGCGATCCGAGGGGCAAAGGGTGAAATTCCCTTCAAAAGCACTGAAGGGAAGGTGATGGGGGGAGAGGTACCTTTGGTCTTACACTGATTCTAATCCCATCCCTGACAGAGACTGCCCCTCTTACTTTGGATTTGTCATTTACCTTTCCAGGACTGGGAGCATTTCACTTGTTTCCATACGGATGGAAAGCAGCTGGGAGGTGCTTAGCAAGTTCATAGGACTCGCATAGGAGCTAAGCAGCTCCAGCATGCCGTGCTGTAGGAGCTCTAGAAAGAAAAGACAAAGGAAACGATCTCTCTTATTTATCCGTTCCAAAATACAGCTGTAAATTGTGTTATGATTTTGTCGATATACGGTGCTTGCAATGATTTCAAATAAATAATGTTATGACCCCAGGGGCCTCATTGATTTTGTAATAATTTTGAAGAGAAGCCACTCAGTTTCCCGTTTGCTGACAAATTCTTTGCTCCCTGAGGAATTCCTATTGAGCATGTATTAAAGCCAGGATAAAATAATTCCAGGGAAATACAGAGAGAGGGCTTTGTGCATGGACTCTGCTCAGCGAACGGGTATTTAACCTCTGACCAGTGGCGACAGGTCTCCTTTAGCTCTATTAGATCAACAGCAAGCTACTATAATTAAATAAAAAAACTGTTTAGAGCCTCACCGAACATGTCCTGGGAATTAAAGCATATGGCAGGGATAGGGAAAAAAAGACTTTCCGTATGCTAATGACCCTTGATGTCTGAAATAAATTAGATCCATTAGAGTTTATGCTCAATAAAAGAAAGACTTTAAGCACTCCAAAGTTAGTGACTCGAGACCGATTTTGGCTTAGAAATTCAATCTGCCTGCTTATTAATTCTTAGTAAGGCTCTGGAGGAGACAGGGGATGCAAAATCATAATTCTGTGCTGTATCAGAATTTTAAAGTGCCATCAGTTTCTTTTCCTTCTTTTTTTTTTTAATTAAACCATTTTTCATGCTTCCCTTTTTTGTTCTCCTCATTAATTTGATTTTGTTCCCATTTTTGTTTAATTTCTTTCTTTTTAAGGTTTCATTTATCCTATTTCAACTGAACAGAGAACACAGAATGAATATGGATTTTCTTGTAAGTTTAACGTTTGATTTTACGTTCCTGGGTGCTAATTTGGTTCTGTTCCTTGGGTCAAGCTTTACTGTTACGCCAGCTCCGTGTGACTGGGCAAAGAGGGACCTACTGGGCAGCGTAAGTGGCATGCTGCTCTCTTGACAGCCATCGCAGTGTTTCGCTGTCAGCGGGTTGACACAGAATGATCACGGCCCTTATGCACAAGGAAACTGGGAGAAGAGAAAATTAGAGGCAGAGCCTGGAGAGAATGAACCCTCTTCTCGTTAAAATTTCCGTGGCAAATGGAAGAGATGTGGTGGAGGGGTAACTTTTCTTTGCGCTGGAACTCGGAGATCTGTTTCCTGAACTGCTGAGGAAAAAAAATGTGGTGTTTCAAGGCTGGTGCATTGAAGGTCTGATAGCTAAGAGCTTACAGAGATTGATCAGTCCTTTTCAACATCTGCCAGCTCTCACCTCTGCGCTGGAGGGCAGCCTGGCTGAAATGGCTAGAAGGCAGGGAACAAAAAAAAAATAAAATAAAAATTGTTTCACATGTTTCCAACTAACAAAAATGGGGTACTAAAAAAGTCTGATTTGGTTTTGCACTTCCTTTTTACATTACACTATCTCTAAAACTGGGATTCTTCACTGTATAGAAACACATCAAATTTTGGTCATATATTCAGACCTTTTGGTAAAAAAATGTCGAGTGGATAACGATGCTAGAGATTAGCCTGGAATTAGTGCTGAAGATATGGTATAAACAGCTAGTAGAAATATCATAGCCATTTTCTCGCAAGACAGCTCTAATAAATCTGGGTTCCTTTTCGTAAATTACCACATTACTTCTTGTGCTTGCTTCGGCTTGTAGCCAAATATGGATGTGTTAATGCCACTGATGAGAATTCAGTGTTTGATTCTCTGTTTTACTAGATTATTTTTTTTAAAGGGAAATGCATGGAAAGAAAAATAGCTTGACACTTTATAGTTCAGAAAAAAAGCAATCTCAAAGACACATCCTGATATTCCAGGTATTCCATATAAAATGGACTTGGGGGGGGGGGAGGGGTTGACCTTTTTTTTTTTTAGTTAAAAAACAAGGCTTCTCAAGTTTGAAAACCTACTTTTTTTTTGTCATCAGATGAACCACTAAATACCAATATTAAGATGCTATATCACTAAGACATACTATTTTATTTCGCAGGGTGAATTTGTTTCATGATACTAAGTCTCATGTGTGTTATGCTTAGTAGTTCACAGCCTAGGTACTAGATAGATGAATGAGTAGATAGGTAAAGAGTTAGAACACAAGTTAGAGAGAAATCAAAAGATAATTTTCCATCAAAAGGGCACAGACCTGTTATATAGCTTTGGAAATGGATTTTAAATTAACCTATAAAAAAAGTAGTAAATATCTGCAGGAAACGCGAATTATAAGAATGTGTTTTCTTGAAAGTCCCTGTCAGGAGAACATTTCTTCAAGGTTCCCGGCCTCTCTCCCTCTAGCTGCTCCTGACTCGGATGATGTTGCTCTCTACGTCGGGATCGTCATAGCCGTGATCGTGTGCCTGGCTATTTCCGTGGTTGTGGCCCTGTTTGTCTATCGCAAGAACCACCGAGACTTTGAGTCAGATATTATCGACTCCTCGGCGCTAAATGGGGGATTTCAGCCTGTTAACATCAAGGCTGCAAGGCAAGGTTAGTTGTCATTTCTCTCCATGTTGACCAATTCAGGGAGACGCTATAAGGTTATGGTCTCTTGGGCTGCATGAATGATATTCGCGGGATGCTTGTTGGCACTTCATAAAAGGGAGAAAGATGATATCCATTTGTTTCTGATGGTCAAGTGCTGAAAACCCACGTTGGCATTTTTCAGATGTGCTCAAGAGCATAAAGCAGGGGGATTTAACTTCTGAAGAGAGAGCGTGAATGTGAGAGTGAAACACAGAGACATTTATGGAAATACAGGTCCAGCTCAAATTTAAATCAAAGGGAAAGCTCTGACGGAAACAACGGAGGCAGGATTCATCACAGCAGTGATATTACAGTACAGTAATTCTATCACAACTTCCTCCCCTTTGTTTCACTAATAGCCTTTTTTACTGTGCCCTGTCTCCGCAGGCATAAATAGTAGTTTAAGGAGTACTGTACTTCCAACAGACAATGTAGAAGTTGCGGTAGTACATAATTTAATAATGAGCATTTTTATCACTGATGCATAGCAGCTTGATTATTTCCAGACTTCACTGGCCAGAAAAAAACCCACTCTAAAGTTAGTGCTGGCTTTTTCAGACCCTGTATTTAGGCTGTAGAGTTCCTCTTTTTTCCCAGTATGTGTGCAAAAAGAATAAATCAAAGTAAGAGCTAAGGTGACAAGAGAGTTGTCACGTGGACGATTAGCAGAAGTGTCATTTTCTTTGCTGGGGATAGTTTTAAAACAGGTCTCCAAAAACTCTGATGCAGGTACTAATCCCCTGCTGTGGGGAGTAGTCGTGGGCACAATGACTTTGTGGGTTTGTCTGTCTTTTATTTCAGGAATGCTGTGGTTAGACCAATTAGATCAATTGCTTAATGATTCTCACTTTGCATTTAGGGAGGGGGTATTAGTTGATAAAACTAGATCTACTGAGTATGGAGAACATCTTGCCCTGAAGCGAAGCATGTCATGCTAGAAATCTGAGTGCAGCCTGGAAAAATAATCCCAATGAAAAATCCTTAGAGCAGAAACGTGCTGTAATTTTGTATGACAATTAGGTTCCATAGTGGCTGGGGCAATACAGGCCCTGGGAGTTTGCTGAAGAGATGCATGAAAAAGGAGACCAAGGTCAGTCTGCAAGGACTTTGCATATCTTAACCTTTGGTACGAAATGCCAAATGCAAAATGCAAACTCAAATCGTTGCCCAGAATAAAGTCATCAGAATAGAGAAGTAATACAGTCCTTCCTTCTCATCTCCAATGCAGACCTCCTGGCGGTACCACCAGACCTCACTTCTGCTGCAGCCATGTACAGGGGTCCAGTTTACGCCTTGCATGACGTCTCTGATAAAATCCCAATGACCAATTCTCCCATCCTGGACCCTCTGCCCAACCTGAAAATCAAGGTTTATAACACCTCTGGCGCAGTCACTCCCCAGGATGACCTCTCTGACTTCTCTGCCAAGCTGTCCCCACAGATTACACAGTCTCTGCTGGAGAATGAGACCCTGAATATGAAAAACCAGAGCCTTGCTCGGCAAACAGACCCATCGTGCACTGCATTTGGGACCTTCAACTCTTTAGGAGGTCACCTAGTAATTCCCAATTCAGGTAAGTGCTAGCTCTGTTGGCTTAAAGGCTCAGTTGGTTTCTGTTTTTAAGTGGAGTTAGCTTGCTTTTATGAAGAAAAAGCAGGATCACTCCTGGGACTCTGCCTTGTCTTTGTTCAGAACAAACAGATTTTTTTTTTCCACCCATTCAGGTCTACTGAGGTACTTTGAGTATTCTTTTCCCAAAGTCTTGGCCACCTTTTTAACAGAATATTGCAGGGCTCTTAGCCACTTTCTGAGTCTTGTGAGGCTTTAGAGCTTCCCTGTGAGAAGTGAGATTTAGCATCCTTGACCTTTTCCTTTCATGCAGCTCTAGAAAAGGGCTTCCAAGCCAGAAAGCCTCAATCTTGTCATCACACATAAAAAGGACAAATTAATTAAAAAACAAACTGGTTGTTCCACTTCCAATTCATCTCAGACTGTGTCATACTCAAGTAGGACAGCAGAATGCTAATTTTTGGAAGGCTTTTTTCCTGCACACATTACATACCCAGAAGTGTCTTTTCTATGTTTCTCTCCTTGCTATACATATTGTTACTGGTTTTACAACTAGGAAAGAGGGGCACCGAGCAGCGAGTGCCTTTTGATGTAATTGCAAAGTGCTGCTCATTCTTTCTCATACAGTACGAGGCCAGGCTGCTGGGCTCCCTTCAAGCCACGCTGGCACCGGGAGGCAGTTTCAGAGCACCCAGGGAGCAACTGGGAAGCCTTGGGAGAGCTCGGCTCTCGCAGTCGCGTTTTTCAGGAGAGCCATACTGCTGTTTGGTTCTTACGTGAAGTGTTGATATTCAAAGGAAATTCAGCACCTGGCTGTTCCCGTGGGTTTGGCATGCTAATGAAGAGAAACATTAACATCTGAAGTCGAATCAAACATGTAGAACGCTGGATGGGGGGGACATGCAGGCTATACAGTGGCCAGGAGTCTCCCTGCCTGTTTTCTCTGGAGCTCTCAGTCCAGGTAGGACCACAGTACATGTGAGACCATAATCTCCCCGATGAAATAGCTCAAGGTCTCACAGCTTTTCTGCCTTCCTCCTTTCCCTGTGGTCGTCAGTTCTTGGCCATTTTACAGCACAGTGCCCTGACCGAGGAAGTAGTGCTGACCCTTGTCTCTTGCTCCTTTGCTGGATCTTTTCTTGCTTGTCGACGTTATGGAGAAAGCAAAACGCCAAGGTGGCCTGGGACCTAGGTGGTTTGGTCCTTCCAGGACGCAAGCCCCACACTGCCCAGGAAGCAGCCAAAAGTGGTCGGTGAGCACTAGCCCTCCTCTCTGAGCTACTGTGGAACAGGGGGCAAAAATAGCTATTAAATTGAAAAGCCTGAGTGAAAGCTGAACTACCTGAAGATATCTGGTGCTGACTGCTGAGCAATGTTGGAAATTCATGCTATACGTGGATTTCACATTTCTCTAAGTAGCAGCTGGAGGTAGATATTAATACTCAGGTTTCTTTTGCCACGGTGGTGCATGTCATCAGCAAAGTCTATTAGACACATTTAATTCACATATATTAATATCAATTTGTAAAGAAAAAAAAGGTTATTTATTGCTTCAAAATGATTAAAATAAGTTTTGTAAAATACATCAATCTGTCGGCTGCTACCGTGTATGCCTCCGAGCTGCTTCTAGATGTATGTATATCCTCCTAGTGATATGATCAAAGCCCTTCATTTATGCTATGCCTGCCCTGTTACAGCTGAGAACATGCACAGGTAAGGTCGTAACAGGCCTGTAAAGAAACAAGTGTCAGAAGGCATTCGTGGAAAATGGTTTCCTAGCTAATCCCTCCCCTTCAAAGCCAGGTATGGGACTGAGCCCCTGTGCACCGACACATGGGAGGGCACCAGCATAACCAAACCATGTATGCTAAAGAGGAGAGGCGGGGCCATGCAAAGTTTCTATTAAGCCTCTCTTGTGCATATGTATATATGCAAATAATCGGCCTGGAGGTTTGTTTTCAGCTGCGTAGTAATAACTGTATTAAAATCCTTGCCACTGATTCTCAGCTAATCCACATCTGCAAAGACAGCTGGCTGAGACGTGTCCAGCAGAGTGAAATAGCTGCTCCGTGTGCCATGTTTGTCGTGTACCGACAGGACTCTCTCTTTTCTGGCAGGTCACTTGCTACATTCCTGAAATGTCAGTAATGTAAGAACAGTGCTTTGTAATCAAGCGTGCAGCTAACCAGCACTGCAAAGGGCACAGAACATATTTGCCCACATTTTTTTTCAAGGTTGGATACCTGAATTTTGAGGCACTCTACAGGACTAGGCACATTCAAAATACCAAGAAGCCCAATTTTGTCTCGGTGGTAGTCTAATTAGAAGCTGAGTGCATTAAAAGACAGTATACCAGTTGCAGAAGCCATCTTTCAGAAAACAAGTAGTTCTTGTTGCTTCCTGGGACAGTGCTGCACTGTCTTTCGTTCTCAATTTTAATTAAGTAAGAATTGCCTAGGGAGAGATGTCCCATTACAGCTGTTGGAAGTTTTAGTCAGAGTTGTTCGTTTTTCCATCATTTTACAAAGTAAGCAGCAGCGTAACCATCTGTCTGCTCTTTAAATAAAATAAAATGGAAGGGAAGAAAATCCTCTTCTCCACTCCCCTATTTCAGTGCTGACGCACAAGAGAAGTAAGAACAGACCACCTGACCACCAGAGACACCAGAGTTGCAGTAAATACTTTTTCTCCTGAGTTTCTGAGGTCATTTAGAGTCTGCTGGCGAAGTTGGGTGGAAATCGGGCATCACAGGCTTAGTCTTCTGCCTCTCCTGTCACTCCTCTTCACCTCTTTTTTCTCCATTTTGTCTTTTGTGTCTCTTGTGTTCTGCAGGAGTAAGCTTGCTGATCCCAGCGGGGGCCGTTCCACAAGGAAGAGTCTATGAAATGTATGTGACAGTTCACAGGAAGGAGAACATGAGGTAAAGGACTGCCTTTATTTGCTTGTATATTAGCAGCGGGGAAAAATGTAGTAACTAAAGACCTGTGGTAATGTGCTTATGCAAAGTCAACTGCATTGAAGCTAGTTGCTGACTTGGAGCTCAATGCGAGCAAAGCCAAGGATAAACTTTGCCACAGAACCAGCTCAGACTTTTGCTTTTCTAACCAAGCGTTGCATTCTGCGGCAAGCCCTCAAGCTGGGGTGATGCTGAATCCTAGCCAGAAGCGAGGAGAATGTGCCAGCGTGAGTTTGGTGCGGCAGAGAAGGTGTGAGGTAATCTCTTAATAAAGACCCGTGCTGCAAAGGAGAAGGGAGCGGAGGAGTGAGGTGACAAATCGGCTCAGCAGAGGGACAGCTGCCCGAGCACCTGGCTTGGAAAATCTCCTCTCCTGTTACAATGAAGGCGAATTTTTATTTTACCCTTCATGGGCTTGGCTAGTCCATGCAGTGAAGTGGATGGAGCCAAAGCTTTTGGTGTCCTTCACCCCTCCTTGCTCCGAGGTAGAAGTAGGCAAGTGGTTGTCCTGCTTAGCCCCAGGGACAGCACACCGAGGGCCACCCAGAGCCAATGTTGGGATGACCCCTGTTGTTCTCATCTGTTATCTGCATGTGTGGCCAATTTGTATTCTAGATCTTAATGTCTACTGAGTGATCGAGCAGCTTTGGCATAAAAAAAAAGAGTTCCCGAAAACTCCAAGATACCATTTGAAGCAGTTTAGGAAAACCTAATGAAGAGAAAGGCAAGATCTTAGGCTGCAGAATGGACTCATGTGCACAAAGGCTGAATGGCAAATGTGAATCTAAGCCATCATTACACGGTACTTTGCCTCTTTCCCCTCCTCATAGCTAGATACATGTTTTGGCTCAGCCCCTTAATGGCTTTTATTATGTGCTAAGCCACAGCTGTTTATACACTGTGTGATATTGAACACTATTCTTTAGCTTGGTAGTCTTTCACCCATGATAAAATAATCTGCTTAAAGAAAAAAAATAAATAACCCCTCCACCCACCCTTTTGCATACATTATTCATCGCCTGCTCTTTGAAAATAGCTAATTGCAGCTACAGAAAAAGTGTCTCTGTTCATATCTAGTATTGATTGTATTCCTATTACTTTTGGCTGTGTTTTAAAGACACTTATAAACAGCATTGAAAACGGGCTCTTTCCTGAAGGAAGAAAAAAAATTAAAAGCAGAAGGCATCCCCTGTTATTCAGCTTGCCTCCAAATGTCCCTTTTTAAAATATCTAATGCTTGCAAAAAAAAAATTTATTTCATTCCTAGGAGGAGCTATATGTGCAATTATTTTCTTTCCAGCCAGTTATGGAGGGAATCCCTGCCTCCTTACTCGTGCAGCTGTGGACAAACAATGTCACACGCCAGTCTGATTTATTTTCTTCGAGGGTCATAAAGCCTCCTCTGCGTGCTTTGTGATAGCTGTTACTCAGCAGATCACACGGGGGATGGAAGGATAGGTTAACCTGTATCGGGAAAAGCGCTGTGTTCTGCCAAACTGAGCAAGTGTGCTTAAGTGCACCTGCAGAAGTGAACGGGAAGGTGTGAATCCTCCCCTGTAATGCAGATGTTGAGAAGTGAGGAGAGTAGCGAGCAAGCTGCCTCGGCCGTCAGGGCAGCAGGGCTCATCCCATCACGGTGGGAGGCGCTTCCTGGGCACACAGACCCCAGCTCCTTATTTGATTTATGGCAGTTTTTCAGCGCCCTTCCAGCATGCCAGGCTCTTCATGCACATGGAAACCAACCACTTCTAGGACATTTAAAATGGAGCTTTTCGGGTGTTGTCTAGATCACTTGGAACCGAATAGTCACCAAAAAGGGCTTAAACACTGCAGGAGGGTAACATCCTCCCCTGTTACCTGCTCCCTTTCCCCAGGTGCCCACGAAGCAGAAAAGGGTGAGTGGCACCCAGCACCCAGCTGTAATGGTCTCCTGCTGCAGGACTGTGTTACCAGACACTTCACTTTCTGTAGCAGAGCTGCAGCTCCATCAAAGCCTCTTTTTTTCTGACTGCATGGGCCACAGACGTTGCTTTGTCTAATTGGAGTCGTATGGGTACCACAAGTTAGTGTGCAGCGTAATTGTTTTTTAAATCCGCTGCTGCACTCTTAAAGCTCTCCCAGCAGAGAGTGATAGTCCACAGTAAGGACTAACTGCAGACATCCACTTTCCTGTCAAAGTGGTAACTGGAGTGTGTTCAGTAAACCCTGTGAGACCTGGTGTTTATTTTCATGTGCACTGTGTAAATGTGTATGGGCTGAAAAGTCCTGTCATGTGTCAATGTAGTTTGGAATGGGACATATAGGAAACTATAAAATGGGTGTTATAATCAGAAATTAAGTTAGAATCTTGATGCACAACTGCCACTGAGGTGAGAATGTGCTCACCCCGTAGTGCTACCCTCAATGGAACCAGTGCAGCAACAGAGGGGTGTACCATCACAGCTCACATACCTCCAGCAACTTAAGATTTAGCTCACGCTTTGTTTGTAGAAATATGAAATTACTTCTGAACGGTCGAGCTGAAACAGGAAGTCTGTTATCCTCAGAGTCCTGCAAATTCCCCTTTTCTTTCCCTTCCTTTGTTTCCCTAATACGTTTCCGCAGTTAGTCTCTGAAACCTGTAGTACAGACGTTTGAGAGACTTCATAACCCAGTAATATCACTCTTCGTGTTGCCTTGCAGATTGGTTAGGAGAGCTTTCCAAGACACTCTATTTATTCCATTTCATATCCATCAAAGCATGTGAGAGCAGGAAGGTCACCCTAATAGCACTGTCCTTCTGCGGCGAATTGGGGTTCTGATGGCTTGCGATAATCGTCACTTGGAGGCAGTTGTTTTTCTCAAAGTGTGTTGGCGCCCTTGTGGCACGGTGGGTTTTCTCTTTTCTGAGGCTGATAGGCCAGCAGGTTGGCTTTCCTGCTCCTGCACTGCAAGCTCATCCTCATTCTGCCCATCAGTTGGGGCAGGATGGGTGGCAAGCAGCTACCAGGCTCCGATCCCTGACTGGCATGAGAGATTCATGCTGACCTCCTGGAAAGGTCCATGTACTTTATGAAGTAGCTACAGCGAGGAAAAGGATATCTATGTGTGTTTGTGGGTTTGTGCACGTACATATATGTGTGTGTATATAGACAGATATAATGGAAAAAAGACAAACCTATGAGAATGTTTTACAGCTATCTGCAGGTTTCTGTCTTGAAGCTCATTTCCTTTTTAAGTGGTGATCAGATGGTCTCTGCCTTAGTCTGGGGATGTACGAGATTTGCAAGGAGAGATGACTTCTTGAGCTGTGGTTTCACCTATAAAATAAACGCATTGTTGTGACCAGTACCTGGCAAGAGCCTGTTCCCATAAGCACCTGTGAAAGCCTAGGTCTTACACGATTAAGGATTAAATAGCATGAGTATAAACCTCCAACCTTCAGGATTTTCTTGACTGCTTTGGGTTAAAAACCAAATTTAGCTGTGAGCTAAATTAGTGGAGCTGCATGCTTCCTTTGGAAACATCTGGCACTGGTCAGTGCTAGACAGGGTCTGGGCCTTGATGGACCACTGGTTTGATCTTGTATGGCAGTTCCCGTGTTCCCGCGTGAACCCCTGCCGAGCTTGCACAGCTTTAGGTGGAGCTACTCTTGCATACTCTAATCAGAGGCAAGAACTGCACTAAATATGGCACAGTGAAGGACACTCCTGTATAATCCATCACACAGGAGGTGATGCAAATGAGAGTGGATGTCGCCGTGCCCACAAAATGTGACAACCCTGAAGAACGGAGCAAGCAGTGCTTCTGAAGATCCTGGTGGAAGATACACATAAATTGTGCAACTTCCAAATTATCTACCTTAAAAGAGAGAATAGTTGGGTGAGCCATATCAAGATTTGGATCAGTGGCTTCACAGTATATGTATAGCCTTTATATTAAAGTCACGCAGCTGATCAATGAGTTTGATCCAAGGAGCAATGTTGCCTTTTTCACCAATAAACTCTAAGCTTAGTCATGTGAAATAAAAGATATTGAAGTCTTCCACATCTCATTTCTCCACCTTCCTTCTATATCTCAGTTGCATAAACAAAATTACTTTGCAACTCCAGAAGACAATTTCATGAAGTGCCAGTCATTATAATTGAAAAATTCAAAATAAAAAGACCAGAGCATGAGGGAAAGGGGAGGAAAACTTTTCAGATAATTTTCCTTCTGAAGATAGACTTGAAGAAGAACCAGGGTCAGTCAAGAATACTAAGTTTGAAACCTAAGAAGGAACACATACTAAAAATAAAACCCCAGCAATGAAAGGAGAACTAAAATGTCTTCCCTCTGACTTTTGGCTAAGCTGTGTAGAAGGGTTGCCATCTGTTGCTATGAGTAGCCATTCCCCTCTCCCTGCTCCATCCCGTGCTTCCTGAGCTGCTGGGATTGCCTGTTACATCTACGCACGGTGCCAGGGAGCGCGATGTAGGCCCACTGAGGAGCAGAGATTTCTCTAGTTGTGCTCACATCTGCTGTCTGACAGCTACCTTAATGAATATGGTCTGGCTTGTTACAGGGAGATGGTTTCGAATGAGTAATCCCATTAAAAACACAAATTTGATTGCAAAGGGACCAGATACAGTGAATAGAAGTTTGTTAGCTTTTAAATAAAGGTGACTGTTCTTGATAAGCGGTGCGGGATGGGACGACATCTAAAAATATCTGAAGACCTTTCAGTTACTGTTAGTGCCTTTTAATAGCAATGCTAAACAGGGGATTGAATTTTAGTCTCAGTCATATCTTTGCAAAACAAAAAGCTGTCTTTTGCCTGCAGTGAAGTGACTTTGGGGTCATACTAGCACAGCTGAATGCCCAGTCCCACCTAGTAAGTCGTCCCACGACTGCTGCAAGCCTGAAGTGAAGCACGTGTGGATGGGATTTTGTTGGGGTTTGGGCTTCCTTTTTGGCTAACAGCCTAAAAGTAGGTTCTGGCCCACAGTTTTGAAGATACCTGCTCAAAGGTCTTTCTGCTTTAGAGGAGGCAACTCCCCTGCTCTGTATGCTCCCCTGTGTCTGTGGTTGTGCTGGATCTCCTGCGATCTGTAGCACAGAAATTGCAGTACTCGATTACAGCAGGCACTTGCTCGTCTAGGCCAGGATCCTGGCTTTGCTGGTGCTGCATCACCTGCTCCAGGAGAAGGCAGAAAATTGCTCGTAATGAATGACTAGACAATAACCTGTCTTCAGGGGAATTTGTTGTTTACTAATCCCATCAATTAGTGTTGCGTTTATGCCTTGAAGCAGAAAGATTAATATCTCTTGTATAATATATCTTGTCTGCTGCATCTGTTTCTGTTCTCATTAGCTATAGTAAGGCATAATCCTTTTGTTTGGAAGTTAGAAAGAGTGAGAAATAAGAAAAGATCTGTCAAGACATTTTTGTTCCTTTTTCCTGTCAGTTGCCATAGGGTACCGCTCTGCTCTGTGTGCCATTGCGTGGTTTAGCCTCATTCCTCCGGGATTCAGGTGTTTATTTCTGAGATCTCAGTGTGGTCCCTAAACACCCTGCTACCTGCAGCCACATTACAGCTGGATAGGAAAGGGAATAGCACCTCAGCGTGCTCTGACATGCCTTGTCCCATACAGCCCTAGAAATCAGATTTGGCTTTTGCCACTGTGTCACATTACAGGTTGATGCCTGCTGCATTGCAGTAAGCTCACCTGAGATCTTTTTCACTTTTATTGCTTTTCTTTGCTACTAAATAACTCTGTTTGGAACTTGCTTTGCTCTGGAAGTGTGAGCGCTGCTGTGCAACTAATAGGATTTTATTTTTTAGCCTCTCCAAATCTTTTGCATTATTTTTTGGCTCTCATTGTTACTTGCAATTATTCCTTATTTACTGTTTTCTGTAAATTGAATGATTGTGTTGCTTTTTACATTGCTTTCCACATTGTGAGTAGACATCCTGGCCTCACAGTAGTCAGGAAGAGGTTTAGCACTGACCTCAGTAGAGCTGGGATTTCAGCTGTTCAGCGACACTGACCCCTGTTTCACACCTCTTGAGAACTTCTCTGTCGGTTCTTAAAGGTTTAAAGTAGTTCGGTCACTTGCAGTCCCCAAACTGGTAGAGACCTGAGGTGGGTCAGTATCTGCATGAAGTGGGTGGTGGAGGAGAGTCATCGTGACCAGCGGTGCTCCCTAACTTTTTGGTGCCAGACTCAGATACGCATCTGTGTCACGTCCCGCCAGGCAAGGAGGGAGAGGTACCTCAGGTTCGCCAACACTCTCAGTGTGAATTAAGGTGCCCATCACTTTAAATTCCTTAACAGAGTTGGGTAGCAGCGAAGCTCTTGCTTTTCCCACACAGCCAGGGCTCACCACTGCTGGGACCTCTCCCGGATTTATCCCCGAGAGGTCGCTGCCCGACCCTTCCTGCTTAGATCCAGATAGAGAGTCGGCATCCCTTACCCCCCCCCCAAGGAGAAGGGAGCCGGTATCCTCAAAAAAACCTTTCAACACGGAGGAGATCAGCTGATTCCCTGTGGTTGGAGAAGGGTATACAAAACACCAGGTCTGTAGGTAGGCAAAACCTTTTATTCCATAGCTAGAAGCAGAAATTCTTGTCGTTCGCCACGTGCTCCTTACTAAAGAGACAAAGGAAAAAAGAGTAAAATGAGAGAGAGCGAGAGAGCGCACCGGTCCGGGTTCCAGCGTTGGTCCGGCCAATGGGGGGGTGTGTCCATCTTCAATTTTTTTTCCCAGAGTCTTTGATAGCTTGTGGCTTTTATCCCTTGCTTAGACACACCTTCCCCGCTCCCCATGCTAAATAGCACGCGTGCTCTGTCTGCTCCTCTTTTGAGTCAGTGGGTGATTTGAGGCAGTGGTCAGTGAGTCAGTGGTTGTGATATCCCCCTGCCCAAATTACCTTTTAGTTAAAAGCTCACAGCTCATCTTACAGGCTGCTCTATCAGTTCCTTTATCTGCAGAGTGTTTGAGATGTCTCGGAAGA